CCGAGCCAGTAGCATAGGGGCTGGCTCCACAGACATGAAGCTGCGTCTCAGAAAAGCTGTTCCCTGGCTATCTGAGTTTGTAGACTAATACCTTTGTAAGAATTGAGGGAGAAGTGAAGCTAACACCTCCAGAAGCTTTTGGCTAGGAAATTTGGAGGTGAGAGTGTCATTCACAGATGTGGAGAATAAAATCATGGAACACAGGTTCAGGTGAGGGGCTGCTGGGATTCCACGAGTGTGTCAGGAAGCTGCTTGGTAACTGGTCCTGGCACCTTACCAGATGATCACGGTCTCCTGTGTGGTCCTCTGCCTCTGCTCTGGCTCTCTTCAAGTCTGGTCTCTGTGGAGTAGCTGAAGATTCTTCAGCTGGCCCACCAGGCCAGCACACGCTGGTCAACCCTGTGTGCCCCGCCCCTTTCAATTCTAGTGCTTTTCCTCTGTGTTCTCTGTCCACATGAAATCATTTGTTATGCACAGACTGACAGGGTCTGACATCACCACTAAGTGTAAACTTGCAGGTTCTAGTGAGAACAATGTAGGAAGTTACACGGCCAATCACAGGGGAGAGGCTGTGCAGTCAGCAGATTCCAGTTCTGCCTTCTCACCAGTGGGACTTTGGACCAGGCAACGCCCTTGGTCTCCTTAAATTCTTTTTTCTATGGCTGGGGCCATGTAAGGGTTAAATGCATTTCATCAGTACAGTGAGCAGCCAAGGCAGAGAACTATCTACTTGCCTATAACCAAGCTCTCATAGACAGAATGAAGTCAAGGAAGTTTGTGAGTGTGTTATTTAGCCCCTTCAGATGCACAGTAACATGCATCTTTGATGCTCTTTGGAGAACAGGAGGCAGGGAGACAGGCACTCTGGGCATGGTCCATGCTCTTAACTGGCTTCTTTGGTAAAAATGCCAAAAAACTTCAGTTATCCACTGGCCCCTAAGGCGCTAGAGGTGGTCTGTTCCCTGCAAGGAACAGTGGCTAGAACCCAAAGATGCTCTGCTTAGAGGTGCAGAGAAAGACAGGTTTCCTGGCCAAGTGACAGCACTTGTGATGCAACATTTGTGGTCAGTGAAAGAAAAACAGGTAATGCTGAAGTTATACAAATATGCTTGGCAGCTTTGAAAAATTGCCTTTATTAGAATCATAAGGGTTTTCAAAAATCTTACCATTATGAAAGTTTAAAAAAATATAGCACTTGGTGCAATGAAATACTACATTTAATTATTATCCAAACACTTAAGGCAGGTTTCTCACAGTTTAAGTGTGAGAATTTAGCATGATCCAAACTCAAATATCCATTTCTCATATCTTTCAATGTCTGCAGCTGATACTGACTTAGAAACCTTTTTTAAAGCCATTTCAAAATCCTCCATAGTTGTAGGCATGTGCATTTCTTCTCTAGAAAGATTTCGGATTTCCTCTGGAGTCAAACCTTCGATACGCCTTCTCATTGCCATCAAGGACGCGTCCCTAGGTTTTAAAGTTAAAAACAAAACAGTGATATTTTGAATGAAAAAGACTGTGTTACAACATTCTGTAATTATGATCTTATGGCATATACATAGTACTAGTGCAAAGAATGTTGCATCAGTATCAACATTCTGATTGCTTTTTGGCAGTTAATTTTGTGATGGAACAGGACGTTAATCAATTCAAGTAACAGACACTGAGAATGAAGCCCAGGAAAAGGTGAAAGGATAAAATTAAGCCAGTAGTTGAACTTCATCATAAGTTTCCAATAAAATAATGAAGTATCAGAGAGACAGGAGAAAAAAAACCAGTTAACTAAAAAGTGAAAGTATCTTCTACATGTGTAGGAAAAGTTAAATGATCAAGACAGGTTGGCTCTCCTTTCCCATTTTTGTATTTAGTATTTTGGTTTAAAAAAAAGATGAGGCCCTCCCTGGTGGC